GGCTGGTGGCTGTGTGCCATGGAGTCAGTTCCGACTCATAGCGACCCTGTACAGGGTTTCTGAGGCTGTAAATCTTACAGGAGCAGAACACATCATCTTTCTCCCGTGAACAGCTGGTAGTTTCGAACTGCTGACCTTGCGGTTCACAGCCCGATTCGTAACCAATACACTGCCTAAAATGAGGGGGTGATAAAGGCTTGAAGTGACTGGCTTACACGATTTCAAGAAGGAGGTTAGTTTAAGAGTGTGTGGGGGAAGATAGAGGCCCCACTGAATAGTTTTCATCTTGTCTAGATGGGTCTGGTAAAAAGAGATGGGGATAAGATTCTTATGACTCAATAGTGAGTAATTGTCATCATGACTAATTGCAACTGTCACAATTGTAAAGGTAGAAGTTTTGTAACAAAAACGGGGGAGTAGTTAATTTTACAGTCCAGAAACAGAGAATCCTGGGAAAAGGGCACAATTGGAATGAGAGATCTTGTCCAGAGAAGCAGGGACACCAGAGATGAAGGCAGAGATGGGAACATGGAGAGAGGCAGCAGCTGAGGACTCTAGATTCATGGGAATAGAGGTACTGAGAGCTGGCAACCAGGAGACAAGCTTGCAGAATGTGCCCTTTGGTTGTATAAATTATTATATATGCATGCATGTTAAAAAAAAAAAAAGGCCTGAAATGAATAGAGAGCAATACTGTTATCTGATGGTACATGGAGGGGATTATAACCATTGTAATGAAACAAAGCTATGATGTGTTGAATGTAGAACTGATTATCTGCCCTGTAAGCTTTCTCTCAATTCACAATAAAATCTTTTAAAAATAGATAAATTAATTAAATAAAATGTAAAAAAAAACACCAAATGCTAATTAAATTTTATTGTTAGGGCCATTTGTTTGTCTGTGGTCCATGTACTCAAGATGTTTTCAAACAAAACTAATATTCAAAAATTAGCTAAAGCAAAAATCAGAGCCTTAACTGTGAGTGAGAACAGAAATAGGTGGAGAAGATTTTATAGAAAAATTGTAACTTGAGTTTAACACTGAAAAGTGAAGAAAGTTTCTGTAAGTGGAAGAGGACTTTCTGAGGAGGGGAGAAGGCATGAGTGAAGGTTCCAAGATAGGGACAAGCACAGCAGGGCTTAGGACAAAGATGACACTTTAGGAATACCCTTTGAGAGGGAACTATACCGGGAAGCTCAAGGTGTTTCAAAGTAAAACAATTTAAAGTCCTTAAATTTATTTAAAAGTATCTTACTACAAGGCTTTTTGTGATAACCAGTATTTTTCCAAGTTAGCTGCCATTAATAAGTTTTTACTGTATATTCGTACATGGCTGTGTACTTGCTAGAATTCGTCATTGACTATTTGAATTACAATACATGGCAATGTGCTACAAAATGCTTTCTTGTTTTATAAACTGCTATCATATTTTAAGGTTTTGATTGTAACACTGTCAAAAACATATGGCAAGAGGTAATCTCATGGATTAAAATTTAGGACTCTGAAAAAGCCAGTTTTATAATGAGGTCTCCATATACTAAAAAATACCTTTATCTGATTTATTAATGCAAAATTGTTTTATGATTGCTCCTGCTATTGTTCCAAGAGGGGAGATATTCACAAATGTATAATGAAAATATGAAGTTCATTTGCATATTATACTTGTGATCAATCCATATTAAAAACTGATCTGTAGAGATTACCAAATATTGATTGTGATAAATTATTATGAAGATATATTCCCACTAAAGCACAAACAGAAAAAATGAAAGGAAATGGACTAATTCATTTTAAAAAGGCACTTTGAAAATCAGGATGAGTAGAAAGAAAGTGTTTTTAAAAGTACACATTTTTGACTCAATGCTGTTTTGGAGGAAAATAAGACATCATTAAATTTTATTGATTATAAAACGCTGACTATTTTTATCTTAGAAAAATTCACTTTGTTGTGAGTATACATCGTTTTTTCCTTAAGACTAAATCATTACTAATTTTCTCCATATGTGTATAATTTGTCTTTGACCTTTCACAAATGTCCTCTAAGCAGTCTACTTAGCATCCAAGAAGAATGCCACAGCATCATTTTACACGCACACAAAGAGTTGAACGCTCCATAAAAATAAATGATCCATGATACAAGATACATTAACTAGCAGAATAATAAGCCATTTCAGCCCTGTGAATTTTAGTGCCCATCCATTCAAAACCACACTGGGTCACTTTAGGATTAAATTCATAGGAACAAAATGGTAAATGCACATGTTTTATTTGGTAAGCTGCCAACCACATATTTCGTGTAAAAGTTTGTTAGCTTAGGAAAACCTATTCAAAGGTACGGTGTATATTTAAAAACAGTCTCTCTTTCCAATACATGATTTTATGTGTTACAGATACATTTACTACTAAGCATCATGTATATTTAATGTCACAATGTCTACTTCAATGCCCTAAAAAGCTTTTGTTCACTTTATAGTTTCCATTATTGAGGAACCAACATTCAGTTTCCCCACAATTTTGTAAAGTGCAGGCAACCCACAAGAGCGTCTAGTTTGACTTGGCTGCCCCAGGGGACCACGATAATTGTTATGAAGTCATTAATTCTACCTCAGCAGTTTCAACTGTCAGATGCATGTAACAATAATTGCAGTTAATGAATGCTGCTCAATTTATTAAGTGCAAAATGAAATCCAGTATTCTTTTATCTGCAGCACTGAGGCATATTATCATTTATCATTTGTATGTACTACGTTGACTATTCTACTGTCATTTATTAGGCAGATTATATGTAGCCATATTAAAAAAAACAAAAAAACTTATCTTCATTAGAGGATAATGCAGGAAAATCCAACTCTCTAATTAAGGGATAATTTAAAAAATTAGTTCCAAAAGCATTATTTAATAAGAATCTATGCCTATAGAAAGTCTAGTAGAACCAAAGCTTGTTTCCTGATTTGGATGAGCTCAATTCCTTCTTGTGTCATCCTTCTCTTCTAAATACTTACCAGAGTACAAAAAAGTCCAAAAATTTCCAGTTGTTTGAAATACTATTGCTGTTTCTTTCTCAAAATTAACGGCAGGAAAAGTTTTGTATACATAACAACAGCCTATTTCTTGATTAAGAAAACAACAACTTAGAACTAGGTTTCTTATTTTCAGTCACTCAAAGTACACTGCATAGACATTTGCAAGAGCAAAAAGAGAAGAATTTCTGAAAACGTAAGATGAAAAAGTATCAGTTTTAGAATCCCAGAGACATCTGCTTCCGATATGTATGCTCTGACTATTCAGTTGTCCAATGTGAATAATCACAATGAGCTTATACCGTGGAATCATCAAGTCCTTTACCCGGGCTTTAATAACCTACCAATGGAAGAGGAAAGAAAAGTCTTCATTACCATTTAGCTACATTGAAATGTTAACATTTTCATTTTGCCATACATACAGTAAATTTAATATTTTTAAATTATATGAAACACTGTTGATAATTTCATTAATTATTTATAGATCTATTATTAATATTTCCTTTGAGCACCGTCCCTATTAGAGTGGAAATTCAGGGTCAAAATTATAGTACCACCAATAAATCTACATTTTCTAAGGCACATAGAAGATTGCAATCCAGAGCATAGAATTTAAAGGATTTATTAAATTATTTGAACATCTATATTAAGATGGTTTCCCTTCAAAGAATTTTGGCATTACAATACCTGTATTGGCCAGTTGAGGGGCCATACACAGACATTTGGTGTCCTGGTGTGGTGCTGCGGGTTAATGTGCTGAACTGCAAGATTGGTTGAACTGCAATGTTGGCAGTTCAAGCTCATCAGCCGCTCATCAGAAACCCTATACAGGGTCACTTAACAACAACAGCAACAACACAGGAATTTACTGTAATATAACTAATCATGAATGTTGTAAAGATTTTTTTTTTTTTAAGTGGAGAAAACTTACATAAAGTTACCAGCCCTTTAGTGGATAAAAAAAAAAAAATGTATTCAAAGACCACAATTTCATGGATAAAAAAAAAAAAATGTATTCAAAGACCACAATTTCATTATTTGATAGTCCTCAAAAGAGGTAGTTGCTCCCTTGGTGAAGAGAAAATAATGATTAACATAGCATATCTTCTACAATGAAGTTATTTATAAAGTTTAATACATTTTTTTTTTACAAAATACATGCACATGTTGCACATAGCAATTGTTTTAGCCAAAGGTTTTCACACATATACACACATGGCATACTGTTGTTACTGTTAAGTGCAGTCGGGTCAGTTCTGGCTTACAGCAACCCTAAATAGGGTTTCCGAGGAGCAACTGGTGTGTTTGAACTGCTGACCTTTCTGTTGGCAGCCCAGTCCATATTCTACAGTGCCAGATGACCTAATAAATATTTTTATAAAATATAAACATGCATTTTTTTCCCCTCTGCAACTGCAAATTAATTCCCTTCATCAAAAAGTAGGGGGTTGTACATTCAGCAGATATTTCAATTTCAGTTAACCCTTTGGGAAAATCACACATATACCTCAGAAATTGTTTTAGTCATCTGTCTACAGAGCTCTGGTTCATATTCTTCCTCTTGTAGATAGTTAGTCAACACATCTTTCAAAATATGATTGACAGCAACCACAGGAAAATGTTTTGTAGGACCTGAAAACACATACAGAATTTCTAAGAAGTTATTTCAAATCATATCCTCCCTCTCCATATGTTAATCAGAAGAGTACTGAAACATAAAGGGATATTTAATCTATGATCTTTATGTAAGGAAAAAAATGGTCTTAATTAGTTCTAAGACTCCTGGTGTGGTGCTGCAGGTGAATGCGCTGGACTGCAAAGTCAGTTTGAACTGAAAGGCCAGCAGTTAGAGTTCACCAGCCACGCCTTGGAAATCCTTTACAGGGTCGCTATGAATTGGAACTGACTCAATGGCACTTAAAAACAACAACAAATTAGGTTTCTAGTCAGTTTCTCTGGAAGGGACAAGAATATAATGGGTTCATACATTTATCAAATAAGCAAAAATGTGTGTTCAGAACTGTTGAGGTTTGACACCAAAGTCTTCTCTTTCTCTACTCCTAACTGTTAATAACAATGGTTAACGAGCTACCCTTAGTTCTCCATGTCTTTCTAACTGGACACCCTGGCTTTTATGTCTTCCACTCTATGCACACTTGCTCTCCACACCTCACAGAATAATCACCCTAAAATCCAGATCTTACTTTGTTATTCTCCTTCTTAACAAGGTCTGGGGTACAACCTCTACCCAATCCGCACTCTTCTTTGACTACCATGATTCCCTAAGCCTGCTGCTCCAGTCTTCTGGATTTCATTGGAATTTTGAAGGATAGAGTCATTTTAATCAAATGATTAAATCACTTGGCTGCTAACGGAAAGGTAGAAGGTTTGAGAAGCACCGTTAGGTCTGGGGATCTATTCCTGAAAAATTGGCCAACGGAAACTCTATGGAGCACGGTTCTATTCTGACACACACGAGTTCATCTTGAGTCTCATCTACTTCCTGGCAACTGTTTTTGTTTTCAAAAGGGATACCCTTCCCCATCTTGATTGTCTGATAAATACTACTTTATCAAGGCCAGCAAAGAGGTCGTCTTCTCCAGGTAACTTTCCTTGTCCCTTTGGGTCAAAAGCATCACTCTGTACTCTGTACTCCCAATGCACCAAGTCGCCATTGCTACCCTGGCTCCCAAAACATTCTACTGCTATTCATAAGGTTTTCACTGGTCGATTTTTACCAACTCTGGAGTTTAAAGTTGATCAAACATATAATCAAGATGCATTGATAATTATTAGTAATTGGAATGTGTAAACTGAAATGAAAGATGAACTGGTGGTGGTGGTTCCAACTCGTGGTAACCCTGTATAGAGTTACCTAGGCTGTAAATGGATTGGCTCATGTTAACACATGTTAGCACATGGCAACAATAGATTTGAACATTTGGAGTGAGAGGAGAGGATGATGCAAGACCAGCTAGCTTTTTACTGTGTTGTAAATGAGTTTCCATGAGTCAGAGTTGACTCAACTCCATGGAAATTATGAATCGATTTATCTCTTAGAAAATCAGCTTTTGACTTCCAAAATAAGTTTCTGAAGTTACTTACAAAATCCACTGATGAGAATGCTAAATTTTTTGTTTCTTGACAGAATGTTTTTCCTTAGAAAGAAAGATAGCTTTGGATATCAAAAAGTAAAGACCTGTATGATCAGAATGAAAAGACGAACAAAAACTGTCCAAAAATTATTTAAAAGAGAAAAAATATTTGGTCATTTAACATGTCTATGTCTCAGTTCCCACAAATAGGGATAATTATAAAAATTACTATATTGCTAAGATTAAATGAGAGAAAATATCCTAATTTCTTACAACAGTGTTTGCCACACACATAGCAATCATTTGATACTTATTATTATTAATGCTCTTGCTCCTGTTATTACCTCAGCTGTGGGAATGAATGGACGATTTTCTCTGCTGAGAATTCAGTTAAGATGGGAGAGGGTCTAAGCAGAGAGACAGTGACCTCCATGGGTGGCAAGGATCCCAGGGAGTGGGGCAGAGTTAAAGCTGAGAAAACGACAGGATTCTGTTCAAGAAAACGTCCCATGACAGACTGTAACACCTCATGGAAGCTAAGCTCAATTCTCTCTCTCTTTAACTTTTGGCTTTACTTTCCATTCTGTTGGCTTCATTCTTAGACTGTCTCAATATGGCAGCAAAGATGGCACCAATAGCTTGCTTGATCTGGTGCTCACTGACAGTGTTTTCAAAGAATCAGGTACTTCTCTAACCATGTTGTTGCTGTTGTTGTCAGGTGTCATCTAGTTGGTAGCAACTCATAGTGACTCCATGCACAACACTGCCTGGTACTGTGCCAGCCTCACAATCATTGCTACACCTGAATCCATTGCTGCTGCCACTTAGCTAATCCATCTCGTTCGGGGTCTTCCTCTTTTTCTCTGACCTTCCACTTTACCAAACATGATACCCTTCTCCAATGACTGGTCCCTCCTGATAATATATCCAAATATGAAAGACGAAGTCTGGCCATCATGGCTTCCAAGAAGCAATCTAGCTGTACTTCTTCCAACACAGATCTGTTTTTGTTTTGTCTTGTTTTTTGCCAGACCATGGTACTTTTAATATTCTTCTCTAATACCATAACTCAAATGCATAATTCTTATATGGTCTTCCTTATTCACTGTCCAACTTTTACATGCATATAAGGTTACTGAAAATACCATGGCTTGGATCAGGTGCACCTTGGTCCTCAAACTGACATCTTTGCTTTTGAAACACTTTACAAGAAGTCATGTGCAGCAGATTTACCTAATGCAATACATCATTTGATTTCTTGACTGTGATTCCATGAGTGTTGATGGTTGATTTGAGCAAAATGAAGTCTGTGACAAATGCAATCTTTTCTCTATTTATATGGATGTTGTTTATTGATCCAGCGATGAGTATTTTTTTGTTTTCTGTACATTGGAGCATCATAATGAAGGCTGTGGTCTTTGATCTTCATCATTAAGTATTTTACATCCCCTTCATTTTCAGCAAGCAAGTTTGTATCATCTATGTATCACAGGTTGTTAATGACTCTTCCTTCAATCCTGATACCACATTTTTTTTCACCCCGTATAATCCTGCTTCTCAAATTATTTGCTAAGCATACACATTGGATTAAGTATAGTAAAAGTATATGGCCTTGGTGCACACCATTCCTAATTTTTAAACTATTCAGTGTTCCCTTGTTCTGTTCAAACAATTGCCTTTGGCCTACGTGCAGGTTTCTCATGAGCAAATTAAAGTATTCCAGAGTACTCAATCTCCACAATGTTGTCCATAGCTTGTCATGATCCACAGAATTAAAAACCTTTGCATAGTTAATAAAGCACAGATAAACATCTTTCTGGTATTTCAGCTTCCAGCCAGGATCTACATGACATCAGCAATGATATCCCTTGTTCCACATCCTCTACTGAATCTGACTTGAACCTCTGGAAGCTCTCTGTCTGTGTTTGGTTGCAGTTGTTTTTGTATTATCTTTAGAAAAATTTACTTGCATGCAATATTAATGTTATTGTCTGATGGTTTCTACATTCTGTTGGATCACCTCTCTTTGGAATGGGTACAAATAATGATCTCTTCCAGTCAGTTGGCCAGGTAGCTGTCTTTCAAATTTCTTGGCATAGATGAGTGAGCACCTCCAGTGCCAGATCAGTTTGTTGAAAATTTTCCATTTTTATTCCATCAATTCCTGGTGCCTTGCTCTTTGACAATGACTTCAGTGTATCTTGGACTTCTTCCTTCAGTATCATTGACTCTTGATCATATGCGACCTCGTTGTGGTACAGTGACTCAGGGTATTCCTTCCATCTTCTTTTAATGCTTTCTGTATCATTGAATAGTGCAATTGAGGCTTGAATTTTTCTTTCAATTACCTCAGCTTGAGAAATGCTGAGTGTGTTCTTTAACCATAGCCCAGAAAAAGTCCCTTAGAGAACGCATTCCATTATTAATAGGTAATTGTATTGACTATTATGGGAGGCCACAATTCTTAGTGATAATGTCTTAGAGTTAGTCACTCTCAGAAGGAATGAAGAATCAGTGTAAATGCAAATTGCCACCACACTTTTCTGATGTATGGACTCCCATTTATTAGAAAAAAATGAGATTCAAGGATGTTGACTATCTTGCTCAAACACAATTTACTTAGAAATTCAAAATAATAGTCAAACTTTGATACATAGTCTGTGTTTTTGTTTTTGTGATTAATTATTGGGAAATGTAAATGGTATTTTATGACAAGAAATATAGTTTTTGTTTTCCATTCACTTTTTCTTTTGTTAATTATATTCAGCCTGTATCTCATTTTTAATGTCTATAATTACTCAGGTAAAGAAAATAAACCTGTTCAACATTTATGTGTTTAAATGAGGCAAATATTACTGGATAAAATATTCAAAATTAATTAAACACAAGAGTTCTGGTGAGTGACTCATTTTTTTCTTCTTCACTCTGATGCCCAGTATTCATTGTGGTGAATTGGGGGAATCTTTACCAAGAGTCCACAGTGTCATTCACATGCAAATAAACCCAGAAATAAGTAGTAATGGAAATATATTTCAATTGAGTATTAATAAGATGATTAGTTGAATGCTTAAAAATCAATTTCCAGGCACAAAAGACATCAAATATAAAGAATAATTCACATAAAATTTTTGTGGGAAAATATCTATATTAAGATATTAGTTTCTTAACTTGGCTCAACACTTAGTACTTCTAAAGCTGATGAGACATTTTAGTTTATCTGAGAAAACAGGTCATGAAAACATATTCTAATGAAGTTATATTATTGCGCGCTACATTGTTGACATGAGATTCAAACTCTTGTAGCACGCATAGCCAAAGTCATAGGAACCAAACAGCTAAGATCTTTTAGCTGCAGGTAGGAGAAAACCTGGCCCAAATGTGCTTGCCTAACTGAAAAACCTAGGATAGTTTGGGACTCAAATGGTGACATTAAGATTTGGTTGTTCATTCTGTCTTAGCTCTGCTCAGGTTCCACAGAGGAGCAAGGTGGCAGAAACTACCAAACCCAAAATTCTTCCGGGATTCAGGGCCTGACTTGTTTCTTTAACAGCCCACACAACATCCCCTGAATCGAATCTCAAAGACTTTGATTGGCTAGACCAGAATTATATGCCCTCGCACATTCCATATTTCTGAAGCCAAGGTTCACTTCATCAGAATGGTATGGACTAAAAGCAGTGGGCTTCCCCAAGGGCAACAGGTAAAGTTACTAAAGGAGTATGGGTAAAGTTACTAAAGGATTATTAAAACATATTGGCTGGCAGAAATAATAGATGTCCAGTACTGAAAATACCAGTAGATTGACTAATTATGGAGCCGTCACATCCATGTAGTCCTGTAGAAAACCAGCTACAAAGTTTAATGGGATGTGCTGATGGTCTGTAATTTTCTCTGGGTTAACTGGTCACTGATGGAATTACCATGCTCCATAGGGTCTATCTTTGGTCCTTGGTAAGTCTCTGTGGAATTTCTACATTACAATAATTATATATGAATTCAGATAATTGTGAGCAGGCCTGCATTTAGAGAAAACAAGTAGGTCTATGAGGAAACATGAATGGGAAAAGCTACTGGCCACAGACTCTACCTGGGGGCACAGAAACAGGTGCAAAGGTCTTTTCTTTCTTTTTTTTTTTTTTTAATCCCTAAACCTCAGTGGTAAGGGATAAACATCTCTGTCAACAAGGGACCAGGAATAATTTGCCTTGAAGATTTTTTTTCCCTCTACCTATCGACAACATTGTTTGGTTTTCTTGGATTACACTTCAATGAATAACTCTTTCATTTAAGTCCAACACTTTGAGTGACATCAATCTACAAGAGAACACAGAAATATCCATTGAACTTCTTAATTCAGAAATATCCAATAAAAGTCAGTGACACCTAGTACATTTCTTGGTATTTAGGAAACATGGATAAAGAATAGGCAATGAGTGTTGGTCTCATTTTGCAGAGGAAGAAACTAAAGCAGTTTCAAACCATTTCATAAATCAAGGAAGTGCTATTTGCACTGGTAGCACTGTAGGATAAGCACTGGACTGCTCAGCACAAAGTTGGCAGTTGAAATCCACCAGTCAATTCACAAGAAAAAGATGAGGCTTTCTGCTCCATACAAATGTACAGCCTCAGAAACCCTAAAGGGTCTCTATGAGTTGGAATTGACTTGACAATACTTACCAGCAACTATTTTGTGCTACGAGTCCTTGTGGCACAAATGGTTAAGTGCTTTACTACTAACTGGAAGATTGGCAGTTCGAATCCACCCCAAAATCCCTCAGAAAAAAAGACCTGAGCGAGCTGCTTCTGAAAACGAATAGTCTTGAAAATCCCGTGGCTTCTCTACACCACTGGACTGCCGTGCATGAGTCAGAGTTTAATTAACAGCAACAAGTTAGTTTCTTGGTTTTATTTTGTGTTAGGGTTGAAGATATGTCAAATTACCAGGTATTTCCATAAGCATCAATCACCAAATCAGAAGTTTTATTATACAGGAGTGAGTTAAAATAACAGACCTAACTGATAGGTGTTTTCCATCTGAACTGCAAGGCGAGAGGCATTATTATCACATTTGCTAGGTTCATCCATGTAAGACACAGTACTCAGGGAGCTAAAAGCAAGGGAGAAAAAGAAGTCTCAGGAGTTGATACAATAATAACAAAATGCAGTGTTGCTTAAAGAACAAAATTTTACAGAGATCAAAGAAAATTTCAAGTCCTACATAAATATCCCAGTGACATAAAGTGTAACATATTTTTGTTGTTGTTAAATGCCATGGAGTAAATTTTGATTCATAGCGACCTTGTATAGGGTTTCTGAGGAGTGACTAGGGAGTTTGAACCGCTGACCTTGCAGTTCAAACTGACCTTGTGGTCCAGTGCTTATCCTACAGCACTACACCAAGACTCTTTGTGAAACTAGGAAATCATGTATTATGTTGATACTGTCGTTAAGTGCCATCAAGTCAGTTCCTGCTCACAGTGGCCCTGCATAGGGTTTCCAAATAGCAACTGGTGAGTTTGAAACACTGACTTTGCATTCAAACCAGTCTTGTGGTTCCATGCTTATCCTAAAGCACCACACATTTTAGAGATGGAAAAATTAAGACATAAATAAATTACATGGGTCAGGTCTGAAGGTCGAGGCTAGAGCTCAGTGTAGTATCCAGGTCATCTAATTATACCAAAAGTGTTCTTTTAGAAGATCATGTCTTGCTTATTAATGCTGTACATAAACATACGGGGTAACAGAGTACAGGCTTCAAAAGCTATTGCCAATCTCATCTGTATCACAGAAGCAAAGGCTTTCCCCCAAAGGGAAAAATGTCACAAAGAGGCCTGGGGAATATAATGTTGTTGTTAAGGGCTGTTGAGCCTGTTCCGACCTATATCGACCCTGTATAGGGTTTCCTAGGAGCAGCTGGTGAGCTTGAACTGCTGACCTTGTGGTTCAAACCGACTTTGCAGTCCAGTGCATTAACCCACAATACCACACCAGAACTATAATAGGAATGTAATAGAAAGCTTAAAAATGTTAGGAAAAAAAAATCTATGTACACCTGGGGTGTTCATTATAACATGTACTTCACAAAAGCTCTTTAGTAGAAAAAAGAAAACTGAGAAACTTATGTATATGGTGAGATAGTTCACCCAAACTGCAATTCACCCACACGATCGTAAATCAATAAGTACCAATCATTCTTTTCAACATTAAGAAAGGGGTTTAGTTTGGTTAGGTTACCAAGGCAATATGAGCTTTCCCAGGTGTTAAACAGGAGACCCAAGAAGAGAAGAACCCCTAATGTTCCTCAAACACTGCTTAATTCAGCCTAATTCAGAGGAAATTCAGCTGCCACTAATGGTAGTTTCAGAACGCCCTAGCCTCAATTCTCTCCACCTGTGAGGATGGAAGTTGAGACAGATGCCAATTCAAAGGAGACGCTATAATAGTGTGTGTGTTTATTCAGAGGGGCCACCTTTCTCAGTTGGCTATATTTTTGCTTTAATTTAACGAGAAAAGAATTTGTTCTTAATCTTTAGGGATGTTCTTTTTTCTCAACAAAGTTTAAATATTCTATTCTCAAGCTGTCTGGAACTAGTGGATTTCTTACAAATTGTTATTTTAAGAAGATTGGAGATAATTGACTTAAATGTTTTTAAAACATAAAACAATTAAGGCTTACCCACCTAGCTCAATAAGTGAGGCAAGACATTATGACTGCTTTTTCACCATGCTTCTCTGGATTAGTGTTTTAGTCTTCATTCTTATAACACCTGCTTTCCTCATAATTTTCTGCTACTCTTTGAAGTACCAACCAATCTGTTTGGCCACACTGGCTGCAGGTGTTGTGGACAGTAGCAAAGATGATCGCTTTTGCTTAGAAAACCCAATGTTTAGAAAACTCCTGATTCTAACATAAGCTGGTCTGTCTCAATATTATATATGCTATGTCTTAACTTGGCAAAACACTTTCCATCAAGTATTTCATTTTACCTTCCAAATATTCATTAAGTAAAGGAATCATTATTCTACCTTTTATCAGAGATAAAGGAAATGAATCAAAAGACAGTCAAGTAATTTGCTTAATGTCATGGATGTAGTAAAGGCAGTTGCAGATTTCATATGTCCTATTTATCTCTCAGTGGCATTGTGGGCTAATGCATCAGACTGCTACGTCATTTGAACTGCAAGGTCGATGGTTCAAGCTCACCAGCTGCTCCTTGGAAACCCTATACAGGGTTGCTATGGGTTGGAATTGACTCAACGGCACTTAACAACAACAACAATAACAACAATTTATCTCCCAGTGAAAAAATGTCACATATAGTCATGCCCAACAGAATGCAAACAAGCTGTCATGACTGTCTGAAATCATTAACTGTTGCAGTTGAAACTTACTTGCATAAACATACGGAAGACAGTGATTAAATACACTACATCTTTTACTGAACACCATGCTAAAAACTGATAGAAAACACAATAGAATTGGTATAAAATTCAAACTAGCAGGAGTTAGGAGTCTAAGACATGAAAGCAAATAAAGACTGCTATGAACAACTGAGTCCTACTTTGTTTCATGTTACTACAGATGGATAATCAGTGTAATTTATGATGTCATTGGTATAAAATTGGCAAGCATCCTAAAGGCAGCTTGAAAATTCTACTGACTATAGATTGGTGGCCAAATTAAAAGTTGTACAGACAGATTTTTTTTAGACTTACTAAAGATGATTTCATTCTGTGCCTTTTTATTTTCACAACAATCATAGAAACCATGTATACTTAGTGTAAAAATAAAGAAGAAAGTAAAATCAGACAAAAGATTACTAACCACAGTAATAGAACATGGAACTTCGGTTTATTTTGTGGAGGCAATGGGGCTTAGGAAATAAGGTTCAGATATTTTGGTTGAAAATCTGGAAACACCTATTGTTGTTGTTAAGTACCTTAGAGTCAGTTCTGACTCATAGTGACCCTGTATAGGGTTTCTGAGGAGAAGCTGGTGGGTTTGAACTGCTGATGTTGTGATTCGAAGTCCTGTGCTGATTCTACATGGCCACACCAGGAGCAATACATCCTCAGGAAGGCTGACCATGCAGTGACCAAAGTTATAACTTCATGGAAGACATGTTTTTGTTTTTTACACAGCGCTTTAATTTTAACTGAGTTTCCACATTAGGAGAAGGTTGGTTAGAGAAAGGTAGAAAGAGAAAAGTTTAGAAAAAGAAGCTGAAAAGAAATAAGTTATCTATCCATTGAGAGAAGATAAAAGGAAGACATAAAAAAAGATTCCAAATAATTTCAATCTAAGAAAATAACATTAAACCAGAACATGAGATTGGTAAATTTTTAGAAACAAAATGAGTTCCTGGATTTTAAATTTGGAAACTACCAATATCAATTCAGCATCTTAATTTAGATGAATTTGGACATGGTGTCTCTTGATAAATTGTTTTGCATAATCCCTGGGAAAACTACACAAATCAAAATGTGAGATGCTCAAGAAGGAAATCTATCATTGTGATGATCTGTGCTGCATGTGTGACACATGTTTATTGGGTACCTGCCCAACATTTCAGGTGGATGAGTTGCAGTTGTCTATGATCAGACGTTTCATAATATACAATGATAACCCATTTGGATACATGATCTTTTAAACAAAGGTAATGATGTGGTTAATTTAATCTTTTAAATGTGAAAAATGTTCTTGCTGACTGTTGGTGCCATTAGCTTGTTGCCCTTTAAGGCAAAGCAAATTTCAACTGGTAATCTGTGTCCAAGAGAGTTGCAAAATGTTAGGAAGGAAAGTAGATTACAAGTGATGTGGGAACCAATGAAAGCCTGGCATAAACCACTGGTGAAGACACTAAGCAAACCAACCACTATTCTTTTAGGAAGAAAAGCAACTATTTATAATGTGATGCAAAATTCAGTTATTACTTGGAGTCACATGTTCTACTGCTGAAGACAACTTGGAATCCACAAAACTCTCGGATATAGAATAACTGTGTGCAATTGGTCTGAAACAACAAAAATAATCCACTCATTGTATCTGACTGATACCAGAAAAAACTGAAGTTATGCATGATAATTCAATAGCCTGTGATCTGATTAAATATAAAGGAGACAAGAAACAAACAAAAGAGCTAAGCAGTAGATGTCCTGGTGTGGTGCTCTAGGATAAGCACTGGACTGCTAACTAAAAGGTTGGTGGTTCAAACCCATCAGCCACTCCTTGGCTCCTCGGAAACCCTATATTCATCAGGTCCGTATGATTCAGAATGGACTCAACAGTACTTAACAACAAGCAGTTGGAAAAACTTTTCATGAAATTTAGTTTTCATAAAAAATAGTTTGCTAATTTTCTTGCTGGCCAGTCCTTGAATTGCATATTATCATTCCAAGGCATGTATTATCATCATGACTATTAAAGATAGTAATAATAATTTCTATCAAAGCTCACCAGCCATAATACCATCAAATTATTATTGAGAAAGTCATTCCAGCAATTTTCGCTGCCATTATTAGATGACTGGAAGCTCTAGGAAGATATAATATTCGCATGCATAACTGGTGTGGGAGCCATTAAGTAGATTAAGATGATCTGAATACTCTTTCTTTCCTGACTATCTCTTTCCTGTATTTTAAACTAACAAAAGTCTGAAATTAGTATTTCAGATGGTATCCTTTAAGCATGTTGTTGTTGTTAAGTGCTGTCGAGTCGGTTCCGACCCATAGCGACCCTGCACAGGGTTTCCGAGGGTGTAAATCTTTACAGGAGTAGAAAGCCTCATCTTTCTCCCGAAGAGCGGCTGGTAGTTTCTGGTAGTTTTGAACCGCTGATCTTAAGGTTCGCAGCCCGATTCGTAACCACTACGCTACCAGAGCTCCTTAAGCATAGGCGCCCCCCCCCCTTTTTTTTTTTTGAGGGCTCTTACTAGAGTGATGTGCTGCCACCCAGTGGAAATATTTCAGAGCACAACAGAGAAAAAGAAGGCTTCAAGGTATAAATTCAAGTTTGTTCTTCTCATTCTTTCAACAACATTTATGTCCACAATGTGTCAGGTAAAGTAGGAAGTACTGGTCATACAAAGAAAAAATAAGACAGAG